CAATGAGAACAACACTACAGGAGACTTCTGCCAGAACTGTGTATCAATGAGAACTACACTACAGGAGACTTCTGCCAGAACTGTGCATCAATGAGAACAACACTACAGGAGACTTCTGCCAGAACTGTGCATCAATGAGAACAACACTACGGAGACTTCTGCCAGAACTGTGTATCAATGAGAACCAATATTCTAGAAAGTCTCACAGCTCAGCACCAACATGGCATGGCTACCAGGGAATATCCTGGGAAAGTAATACAACCATGTGACGTGGACAATCATGTGACATGAACAACCACATGATGTGGATAACCATGTGATGTGATCCATGTGATGTGAACAACCATGTGATGTGGACAGCCATGTTACGTGGACAACCATGTGATGTGGACAACCATGTGGTGTGGATCACATCACCCAATCAGATAAATGGTCTATAAAGATATGGGTCTAGCCCCGTATGCCCAGTATCACATCAAGATGTGATCAGATTATTTCTACATTTCAGCTTCTATGTCCCAGATCCACTTTTCACTTGACTGCTTGTCTTATTTAACAAAATCCGACAATGCTGTCTTTCAACATTTTCATTTTCTTTGGGTACCTCAGAACGCCAAGTTTTGGGACAATCAGCTCCACTTTCCGACAGCCCCGGTCAGCACAAAGAAACATCTCATACAAAGCACATTCATCCCCATCATATGTTGTCAGTGCCAGACATGTTCACTTACAATCCAGAAATGAAAATCAGTAACCACAGAAATTAGATGTCTCTCCCCGTGTGGGTTCTGGGGCCCTGTTATAGGGAAAACAAGAATAGACCCACTGCCTACCCTAAAGCATGTCGTAAGAGTCGACTAATTGGGAGCTTTCTTCAAAGTCAAAGTGCCTCTGCCTGAGAAGAGACCCATTATCTCTCTCTATACCTAAAGTGATTTTTTTAAAAAGGAAGCGAAGAAGATCTCAGAATAAAAGTCAGTGAGCAGCTGAAATAAGTTAGCAGCCTTACCCGTCTGCCTGAAATGGGGACCAGGTAATGGCCTGGAAAGTAAAGATGGCTGGCGTGATGGTGACTACATTATCCATTGAGTGCCAGTTGGCATATAAAGTATAGGTCTAGCACTATATGCTACATGTGCCAAAGATGTGGAAAAGAATTCTTTAGACCAGTGTTTCCTAACTTTTCTTGGTCGCAGTGCCTTTTTTTAATTAACATTTTTCATGGCGCCCTAACCTAAGTAAAAGTATAACTATTTGTGTCTTGGTTAAATTAATTCTGAAGCTTTTACAATATTTCGCGGCGCCCCTGTGAAGAGGTCGCGGCTCCGTAGGGCGCTGCGGAGCACAGTTTGGGAATCATTGCTTTAGACTATGTACAGATAAGTCTGCAGTGAGAGGTAAGAACAATAGGTTGGGGTTTATTGCAACGGTAAATGGACACTGTTTGACAACACCATTACATGCAAAACAAGAATAGAGATGGTAATGGCAGCTTTCCGATGGCTTGACAGCAGCACAGCCCGACACGTTGTAATTGTAATGGACTCACCGGGAAAGCTAACCTGGTCAACAAATGCCTGCAGAAGTCGGATATGTCGGCCCAAAGGAGGAACTATCGCAGCCATGCTGTCAATGGGCACAGTGCAATTACTTCATTGGATAATGCAGAAGAAGAAGTAATGGACTCAGAGCACAGGCTTAGGAAAAATAAAACCGGGACTTTTGAGATGTGCAAGGTAATGAGCAGGCTGATAGATTAGCTGCTGCCGCTCCTTTGGGCGGTGAGCTAATTTATGATAAAGCAGATGTGGTGAAGGCTCTCTGGGATCAAATGGAGGTGCTTTATTAATATCCTACCCCAAACAGGAGAAATTCACAGGGGACAGGCTAATATTTCAGGGGGTGGTAGATAGGCTGCATGCAGTCGTAGAACCTAGGCAGCATGCAGTCGTGGGACCTAGACTGCACTCTCGTGGGACATAGGTGGGTTCGGGTTAGAGCCAGTTCTACATGTTTTGGAGTTGTTAAAAGCATCAGAAAGCTGGGAAACCCAGTCTTACCATCCTCCAAAATGTTGGTCTGTCCTGTGACATCATCTGGGGTAGGATATTAATAAAGCACCCAAATGGACAGTGCAACAAAACAGAGAATCGTTCCATTGAAAGACTAATTCAACAGGGTGTGAGCAGAGATTCTGGAAAATAGCCAACACTGAGGGGGGAAACAAAGGCGGACTCTTAATCATGTTGCAACTGGTACTATCAGCATTTCGACTCTTCGCTGGCTACTGAAGAAGGGGACGGAGCACTTGCGGGAATGTACTGAGTGCAGTGATGTCAATTCTTGATTCATTCATTCATTAGTTTACTGACTTACCCGTCTGCTTGGTAGAGGTGGGGTCAAGTTCTGCTTTCTCCATGCCGCTGACCAGTCCATCTTTATCTTTTCCCACAGCAATGATAGGTGCATCTTTACCCCCTTTTTCTACACCGCTGACCGGTCCATCTTTGCCTTTCTCTGCTGGATACGGACTGCTTAATTTGCTCTGAGTCGTAGCTGGCACTGGAATCGACTGCCAAATAAAACAACAACAGATGAAGATAGCCAAGGGATTACCAAGGAACTTTCAAATTTACCACATGCTCAATTTTTATTTCCTGGCATATGAACGAAGCTTCTAGATTAGTTGTTCTTTTAGTCAAGACCCATTTTATTTTTTTTAAAGGTCTGCAGTGGATCTTATACTTTTTAACAGCCATATATTTTTATTTTTTTTAAATACACAAGGGTCTTTGGTCCAAAGCAAGTCCATCTTCTGTTTCAGTAAGATAATCATCATCATCATCATCATCCCATAACACTATGTGTCGTTGGGTCACCAGTTTCTGTTGACATTTTTCACTGTAGATAAAAGAGGTTCATAGTTGCCATTGTGCTGTATAATTGTATGGCAAACTTCCTCGTTTGTAATAAGGTCTCAGTATGATTTGCCAAGAATTTTTCTGAAACATCGCATTTCTAATGCTTGTATCTTTCTTTCAAGTTCAGCTGTTATGGTCCACCTTTCACAGCCATATGTAAATGTACTAATAGCTAGTGCTCTGAGCAATCAAATCTTAGTCTTGTATGAAATGTTTTTAGATTTCCATAATGTTTGCTTTTGAGAAGCTGAAAATATATATATACTATACTAGCTGTACCCGGCCACGCGTTGCTGTGGCATAGTTTGGCTGTATGGAAATGAAAGAAAATAGAAATTGCACGTGTCTAATACAATCATTGTCTGCTCAGATATAGAAATAGTCTTTGATCCCCCCCACCCCACCACAACTAAATCCACCTACTACTCTCTCCCCATCAAATATTTTTGGAAAAGAAAGACAATGGAAATCGCTCGTGTCTAATATAGTTAATGTCGCAATCATTCTCTGCACAGATATAGAGATAGTCTGGTTTTCCAACTTTAGAAAATGCACCATATAAATGTGTCTTTATATTAGTGGTCATTTAAATGGTGTTATTAGCACAGTAACAAAAATGGTTATTTGGTTATCACATGCTAAAGCTGTATGTATTTTTATAGGAGACGGAAGTAAAGCTACAGCTGTACTTGTAAATAACAAAGTCAGTCTTAAAAAAAATTGAATAGCGGAAGTAGCGTTAGTAAAATATAAGCAAATTAAGTATTGAGAACTTGAAAATCACGTGTAAAGCTCTTTAAGTTCTCTTAAATTTAGGTCATTACACACCTCCCCTCCCCTCTTCTATCGACTACTGCTCTCTCCCTCTTCGAAGGATTTGAAAATCATCACCTGGCGATATTTTGTTGTTGTTGTAACTGACATTGACACCCCTGTCCATCTGGACTAAAACGGGGAGCAGGACTTGTAATAGGCAGTGAATGGGGCTAGTGTAATATTTACCACATCATCCTTCAAGTACCAGTACAACTACTACCACGACCACCACCACAGTAGCTAAAATAATGTCACTGCTATCTGTTCTACCATCGGAGTAGACAGGGAGTCGTGAGCCAGAAGATTCTGTGCCGCATAGCTAGTGCTGTCGCCACGGACTGGTCAGGTTAGGATGTATAATTTCGCTTCCTGACAGAAGAACGCCATAACCTTACCGGCGGCCTTCACATGAGAGCACTACGGTGTAACAGCCCAACCACAACTACTACTGCTACTTGAGTTTGAGTGGGTAAAAAGCACCCCCCCCCTATACTGTGAGTTAAAGCTCTCTCAGTACAACACCTTTTCCCTTCCAATCCATCGGCTACTTTCCAACTCATCAAAGGCTGTTTGAAAAAAAAAACAGAAAATAGAAATCGTGTTTAATATGGTTATTGGGGCAATCATTGCCTGCACAGATAAAGAGATAGTCTTGTTTGCTGTACCACGGCCTACTCTATTTATTAGAGAAGGCGTTGGCTGTACATATCTCACCGGCGAATGGTGGAAGTCTTGCGTTCTGACTACGGCGCATGCGCATTTACTAACATGACTATAATTAACTGTCACTAAAAATGTAAATATTAGTTTCAAAGATTTTCCCAAAAATTGTCGCACACTATCTCTAACAATGACAGGTTGAATTTCAAACCATGATGGCGTGAACATCCGATATCAAAACAAACATATCCTAAAAAATTTCAGCTAAATCGGTTTTCAATAGTTTCCGAGTCTATAGCTCATAAACAAACACACAAAATTTGATTTTTATATATATATTTATATATATAGTATATATATATATATATATATAATATATATATATATATATATATATATCTCTCTCTCTCTCTCTCTCGCTCCTCTCTCTCTTCTCTCTCTCTCTCTCTCTCTCTCTCGTCTCTCTCTCTCTCTCTCTCTCTCTCTCTCTCGCTCTCTCTCTCTCTCTCTCTCTCTCTCTCTCTCTCTCTCTCTCTCTCTTCTCTCTCTCTCTCTCTGAACTCAATCATTTTAAATAAGAGACACAGATAACTGTCTACGTACAGGTGCAAGTGCTTTGGAGAAGTTCTGCTGACAAAAACTTATGGCCTGCCCTGCTGTTAGACGGTTCACATCAGTCTGGGGGAAAAAAAAACATAAACATACAATCTTCACCATATAGACATTTTCCTGTGTATATGGATGTTTCAACCAGGCTTGGACATGTAACAACTAAGTAATTGTATTTCATTCAGTTCTAAGCTACTCATCTAGCCTGCATGACAGACTATTGCCTCCCAAAGAGAGTATTTTATGGCGAGCTCCAACAAGGGAAGAGGTCCCAGTGAGGACAGAAAAAATGCTATAAGGGCATTCTCAAAACTGCTCTCAGTTCTCTTGGTACCAACACAGCAGCAAGGGAGGCTGTAGCACAGGACCATACTGGATGGCATATCTCCCAGGAGAGATGGGAGGGGTTCAACCAAGTCCAAAGCGGTAGTTAGGCCATTGGAATTTGGCTTCACTATTAATGAATCTCCCACCTATGAGGTGTGGGCTGTCACGTGACAGCATACATCTATCAGGCATGATGAATCAACATACCAGGCAGCGGAGGTTGCTCAGGCAGAGAAACAGAGGCAGACTAATCCCACACTTACTGCGGCTTCCACCTGTTGTCCATACTGCTAATCCCACACTTGCTGCGGCTTCCACCTGTTGTCCATACTGCTAATCCCACACTTACTGCGGCTTCCACCTGTTGTCCATACTGCTAATCCCACACTTGCTGCGGCTTCCACCTGTTGTCCATACTGCTAATACCACACTTGCTGCGGCTTCCACCTTTTGTCCATACTGCTCAAGAACTTTCTAGGCTCATACTGGACTAATCAGCTACCTTCGTACTCATAGTCAATGATCATTACTACTTTGGATGAAAAGTTGTCTTCACCACACATGATGGACGGACAACAACACTCACCAGACATAAAAGTTGCTGAGGTCGGATATACCCACACAAAAATTTGGTACAACTCACAAAAGTCGCCCCATTTCGCCGGTCACGAGATTTCGTAGGGGATTTCCCGGGACACTCCTATAGTCTAGGGGTGTCGTGTATTCCTTGTTTTGAATATTTTAAGCACATCCACCACTGATGACAACCACAGCCGAGTGTGGCAAGAGACTAAGTTGTTTTCCAGCACGCTGTGAGGACAGCACGGTTCTGCAAAGGACTTGCTGCATGACAAGTAAATGTCAATGAGGAATATATGGAAATATGACATCTTTGAAGTATTCACGGTGTTCCAAATATGAGACACTGGGAGGGAATGGAAAGGATGCATACACACAGGACCCAATGTTTTGACCAAAGTCAAGTCTGTATCAACGGAGTACTAAATGCAACAGAAACTGTGACTAGAAAAGTGAATGGACAAGATAACAGAGCTTATAAACAGCCATGGTCAACATGGAGCCAGAAATACATGAGACTTCTGCTAGAGCTGTGCATAAATGAGAACTTACCCTGCCTTTCATCATAATCTTGAACGCTCTCAGCAAAGCATCAGTCATCTTGTCTATATGCTTGCACCCTTTACCATTGGCCCAGACTTGATAAATCCGCAGCAGATTGTCCTCCCTCTGCTCCTCTGACCAGTGATCGCCCATCTGCATGTCTTGCTGCACTACTATCACGCACTTGAGAAATGCTTCTTCAGCTAACACTAACCGCTCGGCATCACGTAGGTATTTTCTGACAGAAAAACAAAAAACATCTGTCAGGTTCAAATACCTAGATCAGATTTTCTTATCTGGTGTGTCACAGACCCCATGGGTCAAGTGAGGGCTCGAAGACAAACATCTGGAAGAAACAGCTATAATTTTGTGGTCATGTTATGAGAAGAGTGATACTGGAACATGTTGTGACCACTGGAAAGATCTGTGGAAAGAGAGACACTGGAAGACAGCATGATAAGATTCTTGACAGCTTTTTATCATGGCATGGAGAGGTTTCAATACATGAGCTGACACACGCAGTTGTCGATCACAGGTTGTGGAGAGGCATGATTGGCCATGCCAGTCGGCAAGGCACTTGATGAGGAATACTTATTTATAAGTTAAAATAAGTTCTTCAGTATGACTATTAAAAAGTACAGGGTGCATCTTGGAAATTAACAGAAGTCCACAGATCTTAGCTAAATAGAAACCAAAGATCAAGATGATAAATTAGCTTCACCTACACATTAAAATGGGAAATGTAGTGGCGCAGCGGTCTGATGCTTGCCTACAAACCCAATGGTCTTGGGTTTGAATCTGCACTAGGACAGATTTATTCTTACTGATCTTGACTATCAAGCTGACCTAGCCTGAGGTAAAGTAAGTAAAATGACTCTTGTCCACATCTTCAGGCGTAATACGCACAAAGGGCTGAACCGATATTTTATAGACCAATCAGCACTTGGTGGTTGATGTGGTCAGCATCATGCCGGCCACCTTGACTTTCCAGGGACCTATACCGGGTACCCACTCAAGGCTGGGAGCCAAGGTCACTTTAAAAAAAAAGATCCCACGCTGTCAGGACCTGGACCCACAACCTTCCGATCCGCAGGCGTGCGTCTAGCCGCTACAACATGGCGGCTCCCCAGCATAAGGTGGGTACTAGGAAATGTCCTTGAAAGTTAAGTTGGCCAGTGTGATGTTGGTCGCATCACACCTAAAGAGAGCCGACTGGCCTATACAAACAGGAGTCTTAGCACCATATGCACAAACTGCTGTCTAGGTCCTTGACTTTGTATATTTTAAAATATTCTGTGCAATCTATTTTTGTTAACTTATGTGGTTCTTGGAAACTGTTGCGAATACCTTGGGACTGCCAAGAATAATTAACAATGATTGCCTGGAAATGGCTAATGAAAGTAGAACATTATATACAATAATGAGGAGACAAACACAGTTTTTTTTTACCATCTGATGAGAAAAGGAACACTGTAAAATATTGTGATGACTGGTAGAAGAGGCAGAGGCAGACCAAGAGAAACGATGGTGGATGGCTTAAGACAGTGGCATGGAGGAATATCACCAGTGGAACTGAACCAGAACACCAAAGACTGAGATTTGCGGAGATGCGTGAACATCTACACAAACTGGCAAGGCACTTGATGATGATGATGATGAGAGAAAGGCAGCATTGTCTTTGGTAAAGCATAAGCAAGGAAATCAAGATCAACATTCTGGGGAATTGCATCTTTGCTCTATCAACATATGGATGTGAGTCATGGACTATCCTGCAGTCATTGAGGCAACAAAACAGGGGATTTTAAGTTGAAATGCTATAGAAAAATATCAGAATATCATGGACCAAGAAATAAAAATTACTGACATCCTGAAATATCTGAACATCAGGGAAGATTGGCTGATAAACAGCATCTTGGCTTGAAAACTGAAATATTTTGACCATATCAACTGGCAAGCGGACTGGAGAGAAAAGTAGAAGGCGTGGTGCCAGGAAAGAGGGGCAGATCTGATCAGCACAAAGACAGACACAAGATATAAGTGACACCTAAGGTACAAAAATGCACGGGTCTGGAGATCTGGTTTCTATTAGACAGCCATCCCCATGTGGGATGCAATTTTTTGTTATTTGAAGTTCCCACCCCGGCTTTACCGGGGGTCCTGAATATAGCCGGGCCATAAATTTGGCCTTATGGCTGAAAAGTGTGGATTGAAGAAACAATGTTAGATGAAGCAACATGTGTAAGATTGTGTGAATTTGGAATGAAGTGACTTATTCACTTTAATGAACATATTATGAATGAGTGCTGACTGAAGATGCAATGTAAGGTGAAGCAACATGTGTAAGGTTGCGTGAATTTGCCACAGAACTGTTAATGCGTAAGTAAGTAAAGTAAAGTAAAGATCCCTTTTCACGCCTTTCGGCGCATCGGGCATATGGGCAGAGCGTCCCATATTTTACAGACCATCAGCACTCTGTGGGTAATGTGGTCAGCATTACGCCGGCTGTCTTTACTTTCCCAGGACAGCCCATCCTGGTACCCATTTTAGGCTGGGTCGACCTGCAACGACCCATACCACGACAAAAATCCAGGCAGCCTGCAGTGGGTTTTGATCGCGGTATGCTGGCTTACGAGTAGGACTCGCAACGCTTTAGCTACGGACGCCGCTAATGTGTTAAGTTGTGTAAATTTAAAATAGACTGGGTTGATTCATTTGAATTAACATTCAATGAACACGTACGGATGGAAGATATTAGAGGTAGTGTGTAAAGTTGTTCGAATTTGGAATTAGGTGTGGATCTGATAAGAAAGGTCGCATGCGAAGAGTAGTAGTATACGTGTGTACAACCAGTAGGCTACAGAACAGTCAGCTTCTACATTGTAAGACATTTTTTAAGGGAGACGGAGCATCTATGGGTATGCCCCGTATGCGATGAAGTTTGATTCTTAAATCAGTAATGTAAGTAATTGACTAGCACACTGTAGTACATACTTTCCTGGCTCAGGAGTGCGCCTAAGTTGGTTGTGCAGATTTTTCAGCATTTCCAGGTCTCCTAAATCACACAGTACCTCAAACAGAAGCCTGACTGAACGATGGACGTGAGTGGCAAAGCTGCCGGAGCGGTCAATATCCTCAACAGGATTCCTCCATAGACCCTGTCATAAAGTAGTGATAACAGATAAAGGTGTTATAAGCAGTAATAATAGAGGTGTCATAAGTAGTAATAATAGAGAAAGGTGTCATTAGTAGTGCATAGAGAGAAAGGTGTCATAAAGTAGTGCACACAGACAAAAGTAGTTAACAAAGAGAAAGATGTCATTACACAGTGCACATAAGTGTCATAAAGTAGTGTGCATAAAGAAGAGTGGAATAAAGTAATGCATGTAAAGTGTCATAAGCTACACACAGAAAGAAATGTACCACATAACAAGCACACAGAGAAAGATGTCATTTAAAAAAAAAAGTTTTCAACATTGCATTACAATAGGTAAATCCTTTTGCAAAAGAAAAAGCATAATTTTTCTACAAACAAGAAAAAAAATGAATATAAAAATACTTATCTAATACCCAAAATACTAAATACAACGCACCACAGTCAGGTAACAGAAAGGTGGCCAAAACAAAACTACAGAAAAGGTATTGTCCGTATTTTTTAAAACCTATTTTTTTTTTCATGATCACTGCCCTGTCTATGCCATTGTATGTCACACAGGGCTCACAGTCTCTACCTGCACTTTATTCTATCCTGTGTGTAAGAAAGCTGGCTCAATTTTAATTTAGCTCATTTACTCTGAAACAATATACAGCTTTCAACAATTGACAACACTGGAACGCTGCTCGGATTCCAATATAAATTCTGCCAGTTTATTTCTCCTATTCCATCACATGTACTCAACCACAATTATCGCAATTCACTTCCACAACTATGCCACAATAATAATTTACTCAACGTTGACTACACTGCATTCAAACTATATCGACGACATCACAACTGTTTTCTTCCAATTCTGGTACACAACTGACCACGAGTCAACCTCAGGCTTTCACTAGTTTCTTTTCCAGCCCCGAGTATCTTGTGCGGTCGTTTGTGGCACAGATATTCTGCTTGACTTGCTGTGAGCATGAAGACCATGCAAAGCACCTTATCACACTGTGCAATCTCTTCAATATCATGAATGAAATACCTTCCAGAACCTTTGACTTCTCTCATCAATGTTCATTTAAAGGTTTTTGTTTTCTTGTTTTTTTTTCCATCCAGGTTTTATCTTTTTATTTCCCACTTTAGTGCCTGTCTGGTGATTCTCTACTGATAGACTCTTAGGATAAGTCCAATCCAGTTTGCGCTTTACTTCCCTTTTCTTCCACCCATGTCACATTTTTCGTTGTGCTTCTCAGCAAAGTTTCACTCCCATTTTTTTTTTTTTTTGGTGAGCACATCATTTTCACATATTTGGCTTAACTGTATGCAAACTGTTGGTTTCTTTCCTTTCAGACAGATGCAATCAAACTTTAAAGAAACACCCCTAATTATGTGCCTCCTAGACAGGCTTGTTTGAGGGGTAGTGGTCTATTCCTTTTTCTCCAAAATGGAGCCACAGAATCCACACAGGACTTCTATTACTAAATACTGTAACAAATGGAACTAACAAGCCATATTATTACTTATTATATTCCCTGCCATGTAGTGTTGGTAATCACATCTGTCCAGTCTTGTTTTCTGTGTACTGTTAATAATTTCATGTACATATTTTTTCCTTTGCAACAGTCTGGCATCTTCTTTTCCGTATACTGTTAATAATTTCAGATACAGATTTTCTTCCTTGCCATGATGCCAACAGTCCAACATCTTCTCTCCTGGCCTGTCTCTGCCTCCTTTCCCTTCCAACTTTCCGGTTGTGGGGTCTCCATGGTGAAGTGGTCAAGTCATTTTCCTCACATTTTGAAGGTCCTGGGATCATTCCATAGATATGTCGTTCAGTTCATGAGTGCGGTTTTTACAGAAATCCCTGGAGGGCATCAATGGAGCTACAGAGTTTTTGCTTCGTGTGTTGCCAGTCTGGGGATAGAAATCAAGCCATACGGGATAAAACCCAGTGTAATGAAGTTGATCCTCTCGACTTAATTCGATAAATGAAGTTTATTTTCCTATTGTGATGACATATTCCAGTTCTCCCCTTCTCAAGACATGATTACTGTTCTGGAACAAGGCAAAAGTCCAGAAGTGGATGAACAATCAGAGTTTAAAACCTAGGAACATAAAGAAAACAAACACCAAAAAATGTGGATTTTCTCTTGGTGATGCAGGTAATGACTAATACATTATAAATAATATTACCTGAAAAAAGTTATTTTGCTTTCTATCTGCAAATAAACCGGGTGCTGGCATGTAAGAATGCTCTTGCCAGTCAGGTCTTCCTAGCAATATGTCTCGAGCTTTATCCAGTTCCTTGGAATAAAATAAAAAAATGCTAATTAACTTATTCAAATTACTGCAATATTGCTATTTAAGAATTATCTCTACTTACAATACAACAAGTTTATAGTATAATGAAGGTTTTCAGTATCTACAATGTAACAACTGCTAATTTTTGGGCAACACTGTGCCTTCAGTGTCAAATATGGACAAACATCCTCTAATGAATGTAAAATTGTGACAAACGAGATTAAATGCCTTAGAAGAGCTGCAAGAGTTTCAAGGAAAGACAGAATACAAAATCACGAAATCAGACGAATGCTAGGAATAAAGCTAGTCTTTCACGTCATCAAAGAACAACAAATGAAGTGGTTTGGACACTTCACAAGAATGCCCTGGTACTATCTACCACAGCGAGCCACACTGAAACGTTAAAACGGGTATACAGCGAGGGGAAGACCTTGTAAAATATGGAGTGATGGCATAAAGAACAGCTGTATATAAATGAACATAAATCCTAATAGTGCACTTTACAGAACTCATCGACGAATGTTACATCTCCCCCCAACATTTTGGTACAAGGTAGAAGAAAAGAAGAAGAAGACAATGTAACAAGAAACCAATAAACATTTTTTTTTCCTGTAATGCAAAAAGAACAGAATTTAACAAGGATTTTCAGTAGCAATATAAGAAGGAGAGAATGTAATAAGGTTTTCTATATCTACAGTATACATGTGAATAACAAGAACATGATCTGTACATATGTGTACAATAAGAACATAATCTGTACACATGTGTATAACAAGAACATGATCTGTACACATGTGTATAACATGAACATAATCTGTACACATGTGTTTAGTTAGTTGGGTATCCTTTACAGGACGTTGCAGAACCAACCCCAGCATTTCTTGACTGCTGTGGTTTTTCTAGGCAAATTTATGTCCAGTAGTTTGCCATTGCTTTCTGGACGGTCGGCTTCTCAATACCACTATCAAAACCAACACATGGCGCAACGCCCGCAGCTGGGATCAAACCTGGTACCCCGGCATTACAAAGCTTGTTCACAAAACCTACGCCACAGACGCCGTACACATGTGTATAACAAGAAAATAATCTGTACATATGCGTATAGCAAGAACATAATCTGTACACATCACAACAGAGACTGACCTTTGTGTGGTAGTACAAGTGAGCCAGTCTATACAGAGACTTGTAATGGCATGGGAATCTGGAGGCACACATCTCCAACCCAGACCTGCATTTGGACAAAAGCTCAGTTTTCAACAGTTCTGAATCCTTGGGACTAATCTGAGACTGTCTGTCCGGGTCTTTACTGTCAGGCCGTATCTTGCTTGCATCTGGCTCCCTCATACTGGATGAGTCATCTATATAGGACAGCTCTGGTAAAGGTGGCTCAGATCTGTCAGTGGCAGCCTCAGCTTCTGAAGTGACTGGTTCCACAGGAGAAACATTTTCTCCACAGCTCACACCAGAAGACTTCACTGACTCCGGGAGTTCACTCAAGCCATGCTCAGATTTTTCCTGTGCTTCTGTTTCCCATTTTTCACCTTTCTCTCTGTCAGCATCAGGTTGACAGTGAAGCTTTGGTTGGCTAGAGCTTTCCTTGAGGTCGCCTGCAGCATCCATGCAATGTTTAGGAACTGATTCTCCCTCAATACTACTTTTATAATTAACATCTCCTGATTTATTCAGATTGTGGGGAGTTTCTACTAATTCTCTCCTGCTGTCATGCTCCTGGCTAATGCGAACAGAAATGGTATCAATATCTTCACATTCTGTAGAGATATAATTATCTGTTCTATGCTTGTCCAGGATATTGTTGCTCTCTGTTACTACATTACTTTTTTCAGCTTCATGCTTACTGTCAGCCATTTCAACCTGGCTGTTTTGCTTCTGGGAGTTCAGCCGTAAACAGCTTGCTGTACTGTCTGTATCCTTTTTCATTGTTGTTTCTTTACAGTTTTCAGGATTTTCCTGCTCAATCAGTTTGTTGTCTTCAGGTGGATCAGTATCCATAATATCGTCAGAAACAACCTTAAGGTTCTTAGAGTCAACACCCAAACCTTCACTCTTTGGCTGGCTCTGACCTAATGTGGTAGTGTTCATTACAGAGGCAGCTTTATCCAGACTATCTTCATCAATAATTTCAATAACATCATCAATACCTTGTGTCTTCAAACTCTCAACTGCTACCAGTGACTCAGAAGTTTGATTGGCACTGAGAAAAGAACTAAAAGAATCTTGAAATGTTTTGTGGCTGGCAGACGTGATGCCTTCTTCATCAACATCCATTTTGTCTGTATCGATGTCTGCTTGATTACCACAAGACATGGCTGTGTCTTCCTGTGAATGTTCTTCTCTGATCCGGCTACCATCCTGATTGGTGCCTTGAAAACCAACCACTGGAGGACTGTCTTGGTTGTCTCCCATAATGTCGATCTGCCCGCAATCATTCAAGTCTGGTTTCAAATCTGTTTTGTTCTTGCCATCATCCTGATTTTTAGTTTCTTCACAGACTGTTGAAGTTATACCAGCAGACTTCACATTTTGACCATTGTCCTTACTGTCATCTTGACTGCTGCTTTGTCGGCAGTCACTGACTGCTGCACTAAATGACTTAACATCTAGGTTATTCAGTACCTCTGAAGATTCTTCACTCTGACCAACATCTTTTCCATCATTGATTGTCTCCTGGTTTTTTTCCGTACACTGAACATCTTCCTGACATTTTTCTTCTGTGTCATTCTCACATGATTTTCCATTTGCTTCAGACACTACCTCACATTCTGCTGTAGATTCACAAATATCCATTTTTTCATCCTCAAATCCGTCTGGCTGGGCATTGACAACAGAAGCACTGCAGCCAATTTCAGCTGAGGTTTGCTTTAAAGAGTTTTCAGATGAATTATCAGCAGTAACAACAGTTTCCTCTACACAAACAGTAGATTTGATATCAGCAGCTGCATTAAGGAAACTATTGTCTAAACAGGAATTATTCCTGTTGTAGTTCTCCATATTTCCACTACTGGATTCACTCTCCTTGAGCTGGTGCTGATCTAGTGGTTTCTCCATGTCCACGTCCACAATCTGACTCTCAGTGCTGGTTTTGTCTGCACATGTGGCTCCTTGTCCTTCTGAACTCAAGTCAGTGCCACTCGTGTGCAGAGAATAATCGTGGTCAACAGGGTTCTGGTGGTACACAGGCCATGATTTTGAAGCTGGAAGGGTGGCGGCTGCAGGTGAAACAGGTAAGCCCTCTCTGTGAAAGAAACAATATTACCATACAGTTTTAGATACTTTCTTTTACACATATGAACTATTTTTAATTAGAAAAGGTAATCGAGGTAAAGGAACTTCCGTAACAGATACTGCACTTAAGGTGTGAAGTTTTGCTCCTTTAAATATTACAGGCAATGGCATATGAAGAAAGTCTCAGGTTCAAATCCAATTTTTTTGTGGTTTTTTTTTAAAACTCATTGAGTCCCAGGAGCTTTAACATCAGAGACCCAAAGGGTGGTAATGCAATTTTGAAATGTCACAAGTGTGACACATCAAACCAGACCATATTAATTCAACTGCTGCGCAACATACACATGTTATACATCAAAGTGACTAGGAATTGTTGAGGAATAATATTAGAATACTGCTACAAAAATAAACTGTGATAGTAGTTAATTATTAGTAAAGAGGTGTTTTGTTTAGAAAAATAATATAAACAGTAATAAGAGAGATGTCATAAGTAGTAATAATAAAGAAAGGTGTAATTAGTAGTGCGATGAATAAAATAAGTTAAATATGAGCACTTTTTTAACGACTTGCCAAATATTTCAAACTAAAAGCTAATGAAAATGTGAAAAAATTAAAAAAAATTAAAGGAACAATTTTTTTTTTGTTTTTGTTTATATGTCATGTTACGGTGAATGCTTGATTATAAAAGCATCTCTAGCTGAAGTCTGAGCTACTTCCTTCATTAGTTGGAGCTGAAGCTGTAGCTGTAGAGCTCTGCAAGAATCTTTGTCGGGAACGTTGATAACCCACTACTGTATGGTATAGCTTGAAACCGGGTATCAAGCACAGAGGTGTATTGCAATCTGGGCAGTACATGCAAGTTACTTTTCTTTTACCTGCAGCCTTACATATGTCACAGTCTGGTTTGTGCCTTGGCTGTTTATATTTGTCCCCCAAAAAAATGGTGTCTGTAGGTCTGATGTTGTGACTTGTGGTCTTGAAGGTAATACACTGTGCCCAAAAACAGCAGGGATATCCTGCTTGAAGCTCTTTGCTCTTATCTTATTACTAGAGCTGGCAGTGTTGTAGTTTGTATGCCCATTAACCAGAGCAGTTTAAACTAAAAAGGAATAAATAATATAATGGCAGGCACCATTTATAGGGCAGCTGCACCCAACTGGCCGAAGTGATCTACACCCCCGCCCCCCCCCCCAACTTTTGTTTTATTTTTATGTCAGAACTGGCGTGTTTATTATTCTGCCCTCAAGAATACCACTTGTCCTAACTGTCTTGTCCATAATATTATTAGAGTAAACAGTAGATATCAGGAGAACTCTCTTAGTGTCATGCCAGATAACAGGCCTTTATCTGTTGTCACACAATCAAAATAATCTGCCTTTTTCATCTGCTTCCCCCTCCAAATCAATCCGCACACATCCAATTGTGTCTGACATGGCACTTTGGTATTCCTCGTATGGAGGAAGATTGTAAACTTAACGAGTTCATTTTGAGCAGCCTTTCTGCGTTTACAAACAGCATTTTGAACTGTAGAAATGTTCTGGTCGCTTGTGCAACACTCACTTCTTTCTTCATATGTACTTACATCACCTCCATCATCAAGTCTATCATCGTTTTCACTACTTTCAGCTGCGACATGACGATAACATTCCCTGGTGTAACTCTACTTATCCAAGAATCATCGTTTTCAGCGCTAAATTTGTTGCATATTCTGAATCATCAATATTATGTATCTGGTGTTGGTCATCAGACATTACACAAAAAAACTGTATATGTGCTTATAACAAAAATTAACACTGAAAACAATGCTTGTATCGGCAGAAAGCGATACCAATCGTAGGTGTAGCCATTTTGGAATAATAAAAACACCTGTATGAAGCTCCATTTGAAAATTATTGGTACGGCTGTCTGCTGCAGTCTGCAGGTCACGAATTTGACAATTGTCACCAAGGGGTATGACCGGAAATTTGACGATCATCGATGATCATCTTTGGTCAGCAAAGTGTTAATCAGCAAAAGGCAAATTAAAGGGTTGGGGGGAAGTCTCCATGATGAAGCAATCAAGCTGTTTGCCTCATACTTTGATGGCCATGGGTTAATTTCACGGGTGCTTTGTTCAGTTCGTGAGTGCACTTTTTACGAAGATCTCGGGATCATCGCTGGAACTACAGTGTGTGTGCTTCGTGCAATACTCTCAGATGGCAGCTAGCCATTCTTTAGAGAGAGACGAGCAATACAGGATAATCTAGGGCAATGAAGTCAATTCTTTTGATCCTTTCCTCTTAAGCAAATAAATTTACATTCATAACTGAACAACAGTTAACTGAGAAAATAGTGCCAATCAAACTGAGAAAAAAAAAAAGAACATTAAAAGAGTAGTAGAGGCATTCCAGTGGAGAAAGATTTCTAATGTGGTCCTGATAGGCACAGGACATAAAATATACAGGAAGGAAGGAAGGAAGGAAGGAAGGAAGGAAGGAAGGAAGGAAGGAAGGAAGGAAGGAAGGAAGGAAGGAAGGAAGGAAGAAGGAAGGAAGGAAGGAAGGAAGGAAGGAAGGAGGAAGGAAGGAAGGAAGGAAGGAAGGAAGGAAGGAAGGAAGGGAGGAAGGAAGGAAGGAAGGAAGGAAGGAAGGAAGGAAGGAAGGAAGGAAGGAAGGAAGGAAGGAAGGAAGGAAGGAAGGAAGGAAGGAAGGAAGGAAGGAAGGAAGGAAGGAAGGAAGGAAGGAAGGAAGGAAGGAAGGAAGGAAGGAAGGAAGGAAGGAAGGAAGGAAATTTCATGTCCAAACTTTATTGCACAGACTTCACATACATGTAACATTTATTCTTTCAAATTTCCACACAAATTGAAAGTGAATGTAAAACAATCACAGCAACTTTAAATAATATTTTCAAACAAAAATACTGCCAACCTCTCTTCTTCCACTGTCTTCTGTTTCTCTTCCATTCTGGCAAAGTGTCCTTGAAGGGCCCTGGTCACATAGTTGTCCAGCATCCGGCAGCTGCTCGTCTCCACACCCAGACAGGACGAGTTTCAGTGCAGACACAATAATGCGGTAGAAAATCTCTAAAGCTTCCAGAGCCAGGTGTGGCCGAGGATTGACAAACTGTATTTTCTTTGGGTAGACAGCCTTCTCTTCATGCAAGCAGGCAGCAGCCTAAGTTTCAAAGGATGAAGCATATCTCTGACAAACTATTACAGTTTCTAGATAGGAATGATAAAGAGATGCTGAAAGAAATGTCAGATAAGTCTCTTCTGGGTTCGCCCTCAACTCCTTTGGTAGCACGCAACTTTTCTTCTTCTTCTTTGTCTTCTTCTACTTCTTCGCGTTCACCAGCTGTAAACTCCGGCAGAAAGTTCTGGTTTTCCTCCCCCTCCGCTAGATCATTTTCAGAACTTGATTTTGCGTGCATATCCATTTAACAAATGGGGCTTACGTGTATGCAGACTATTGGTTCCTCACTCTGACTTCGAAGGAAACACCCCTTATTGGTCACCTTCCATGACATGCCTGCTAGGGGGCAGTGGTTTTTTATCTTCCCGAAAATGGGGCCCTACTACCCACATGGAAACCATGCAACTCAACATGAGTTCATAATAATCTAAAGACTACATATTTCTGACCTTT